ATCTCTTCATTTGATGTTTTAGGGTTTCAGGATTGTTGTATTCTCTGTTCGGCTTAGTTTTTTGGATCTTTGCTGTGGAGGGATGGCGTGGTGCTTCTGCCTAGAGCGCCATTTTTGTTGTATCTCTCTAAAGAGGTCTTTTGCAGCAGATTTGCCCAATGCAATGCGTCGTTTGATTTGACTGCTGCTTCCATGGGCGTTGATTGTGAATCCAAGTAAAACAAAATCCTTGACAACTTCAGTCTTTTCTCCATTTATCATGATGCTTATTGGTCCAGTTGTGAGGATTTTTATTTTCTTTATGTTGGGGTGTAATCCATGCTGAAGGCTGTAGTCTTTGATGTTCATCAGTAAGTGCTTCATGCCCTCTTCATTTTGAGTAAGCAAGGTTGTGTCATCTGCATATCGCAGGTTGTTCCAGCCCTCACACTTTAGTGGGCTGGAAAGCCCAAGGAGCACTCACGAAGTATTTTTTCTGCAGAATTTTAATGTTTTAAATGCCGTCGCTGTTAAAAGCCTTCATGCTGGGCAGAGATTCATGTTGTGTACACCTCTTCAGAGCAAGAACTGGCTTTAGGCTCTGGGCAAAGCAGTGGGCAAAGGCACTTACACATAGTAGGTAAACCCGCTGCTGTCAAGTTGATTACGACTCACAGCAACCCTACTGTCCTATGGACAGAGTAGAACTGTCCCATAGGGTTTCCAAGGCTGTAATCTTTATGGAAGCAGACTGCCACATCTTTCTCCTATGAAGTGGCTGGTGGCTTCAAATCACCAACCTTTCAGTTAGCAGCTGAGCACTTTAACCACTGTACCCCCAGGGCTCCTCACATAGTAGGCTGACAACAAAATTTGTAAATAATTTATCTAGTTCCTTCACTCACCCAATATGTGTAAATAATTTATCTAGTTAATTCATTCATTCATAGTTGTTGAACACCTACAACTGTAGGCACTTGAGTTCCATGAGTGAGCAAAACAAGGGCCCTGGCATCATGAGGCTTACAGTCCAGAGAAGGGAGAAAGACAGTAAGAACAGGTCCAACAAGCAAATGATAATGTGTTAGAAGGTGATGTATGCTCTTAGAAAGCAGTAGCATAGTTTAAGGGTGTGCTGTGGTGAGGGGCAGAATAAAGAGTCTTGAAAAGAGAGTGATCAGGGTAGACTTCGTTGGACAGTTCCAGATAAATGCTGCCAAATTTCACCTTTCTGAACCCCGTTTTTCATGTTTCCATGCTAGTGCCCTTCTATAGACTCCGTGGCAGAAACATGGGAACAGATAAGTGCAATACAGCTTCATACAGGGATCTTTCTTAATCAAATATCCCCTTAGGCTTTCTCATATGTATCCATTCTTTTTGCTGTGCACATAAACTGAAGTACGTGTAAGACGGTCCTTTAGTGCACCTACATTGCTAATGCTGTTGCTGCAGTCCTCCATACGATGTGAGGCTTTAGGAAACAGGTCAACTTTAATATCAAAGAAAGAATTTTCTGTATCTTTTTTTTTTTTTGTCACTTTCTTCAGTACTGCTGTCTCTTTTCTTCCTCTCCAGCTTTTGGCACTTCTCATAAGGACAGAAATGCTTCTCTTTGGTACTTGGGCCCTGCTGGCCTTGATCCTTTGCCCAGGTAAGGCTATTTGGGAAAATTTCTTTAGCCAGTTTGTGCTGTGGCACAGGTAGCTGGTTAGTGAAGAAGGGCATAGGAAGTTCTGAGTGGGGCAGCATTTATTATTCACTCATCTGGACCCTTGGGAAAGATTGCTACTTCTTGGAACGCTAGGACATAGAATTCTTAGGCACCTTTGGCTTGTAATTGGGATAACCCAGATCAAGTAAACTATCAGAGAGAACCCCCCTAGGAAATAAGCCTTCTCTTCTTGGCTCCGTGCTGCCCCATGCTCCCTGCTGTCATGACAAGCTACAATAGGATATGAATAGTACAAGGCCTATAGTTCATTGTGAGGAGTGGATTCTCCTGATGTCAGGAAAGGAACTGGAGCCCTAGTGGGTAACGTTGCTACCAGAGGTGTTTATTACCAGAGGAGACTGGTATTTGGGAGATGAAGTGGATGGCAGACATGGAGTAGCTAAAGGGGACCTGTAGTGAAGCCTTCAGGAGAATGTGCCGTTCACCTACATCAGGCATCTAAAATTCACCTGGTATCTCGCTCACTGAATCTGAGTAGATTTCCCTAACAGACTAAACTCTTAAGCAACCAAAAACATTTGCTGCCTTAGCACTGAAGCAAAATGGAAGTCTAAATTTGCGAAAAATAGCTGGGAATTTCCATGGGAAATGAGTGACCCTAGGAGTCACCTTTAGGGCAGTGGTTCTCAAAATTTGGTGTCTGTAAGGTTCACCAGGAGTGCTTCTTTTGTTCACTTGCATATTTCCAGGTCCCACCTTCAGAAGTTCCTAATCACTCAGTGTGAGGTGGATCTGGAATCTGCAGTTTTACCGACATTCCAAGTGATTCTAGTGAACTAAATTCTTATACCATAATTTGAGAGAAAGACTGCTTTGGGGTTTAAGTAACACAGCTTTTTTGTTCAGGATTCTACTAACCCCATCAGGGCCCTAAGCAGCCAGTCTTGGGGAGCTTCCAGGAATTCTGGAAATTTAGGAAGAAAATAGCCTCCTGGGCATAATTTTTAGCGACTCCATAGTTTCCATAATGACCCTAATGGAGAAATTAAGATCCTAAGAAATAAGATCAATTGAGGGAATGGTGGCAGAATCAGGGCTATAACTTGTTAATTAAGGGTCTTCTTGTCTGGTCCCCTGTACCCTTTTTTTAGGGTAGGCTCCCTATTCTCTAACTTATCACTAGATAGAATAAGCTCTGTATTTTATTTGGGTCTCCTGGTCCTCACCAGAGTGTTTGGTATATGTGGTTGATCATTTCAGGGGCCACAGAAGAGCTATTTGAGGTCTCTGTTTGGCCAGATCAGGCCCTGGTGGAGTTTGGACAGTCCCTTGTGGTCAACTGCAGCACCACCTGTCCAGACCCGGGACCCAGTGGAATTGAGACCTTCTTAAAGAAAACCCAGGTGGGCAAAGGGCCTCAGTGGAAGGAGTTTCTCCTGGAGGATATCGCAGAGAATTCCATTCTTCAGTGCTTCTTTTCATGCTCAGGGATCCAAAAGGAAATGAGCCTGGGCATCTCCGTGTATCGTGAGTGGGGCTGGGGAGGGAGGAGGAAGGAGGGCGAATATGAATATGCCTTATTTAGGGGAGAATTTAGACAGGGATTTCTTTTAGGGGAGAGAATTAGACCCTTAATGAGAATTTCTGTCATACTGTAGGATTTCTAGAGCCAATTACTTCTATTTCCCTTTGGTGTAGGCTTTGTCAGGATTTCATTAGGAGCAGACGATAGATGAGATCCAGACGTTTGTGCTTGAGGATCTGTCCAAATACAGGAGGCATATGCCAGTAATGCTCTTTTCTAAATTATCAAAAGCTGTACAAAATTAGTACTGAATTATTTGCTACAAATTCTTAGACCAAGTAGAGATTGGCGAAAAGGAGGATTTTTGTGGGCTTGGGAGTTAGAGAAATCTCCATGGAAAAAGGAGGCTGTGGAGCTCCAGCCCTGCAGAATGGTTAAGGTTTGAATTGATACAGATGGGTGAGAAGGGTCTTGCAGGTGAGCAAACAGCATTGGCAGAGATATGGTCATGAGAATAAGTGTGGTCTCTGTGGGCTGAGAACTTGGTTAACTAGGGTGTAGTTTTTGTGTGAAGCCAAGGAGCCCTTCCAAAACTGTTCATGCCTCTGAAGCACCTCTGGTAGGTGGTAAGCTCTCCAGAATGGCAGCAACAGTCAATACAAGGGTGCAACAGTCACATTTTTTGGCTGTAGCTTTAACCACCTTTGATGGGCAGAAAGTTAACATGTTCCATTTAGGGCAGGGGTGGCAAAAGCTGACGCTGTTGGTCAGATGGTTTAAGGGCAGCAGTCACCTTCTTTCACAAACTGCCTGTTCTGTGCCATTTCTTCCTGCCATTTCTTTTTTTCCGAGCCCCATCTTTTTTTCTTCAAGAGCCACCAGAGCACGTGATCCTGGAGCTGCAGCCTGCGTGGGTGGCTGTGGATGAAGCCTTTACAGTGAAGTGCCACGTGCCCAATGTAGCACCCCTGGAGAACCTCACCCTTACGCTTCTCCAGGGCAACCGAGAATTACATAGAAAGAACTTCGTGAGCTTGGCTATGGCTGTCCAAAGAGCTGAGGTCGCCATCAGTGTCAGAGCTCAAAGGGAGGATGACAGGTGCAATTTCTCCTGCCATGCACAACTGGACTTGAGTTCACAAGGTGGAGGGCTCTTTCACAGCAGCTCAGCCATCATGGTGCTCCGGATCTTCGGTGAGTCAGAGCCCAGTTATGAAAGGAATACTGAGGATCATTTTCCTTATTTTACCTTGGCCTTTGGGACTAAGCTCCCACAGGGTTTGGGGTGAAGGTGTGAGGATACTTGAGCTTCACTTCTACTTGGGCTCTAAAGTCACCCTAGGAGAGAGAGACCTTTTAGCCCAACTCCTTCCCTACATTGTGGGGTCCTACATGACACATGATTTATCATGGCTTTTCTCCTCCTTTTTCTTCATTTCTTGGCAGAATTCTCTCAGAGCCCCCAGATCTGGGTCTCTCCACTGCTGGAGGTTGGGATGGCAGAGAGTGTGAGCTGTGTGGTGGCTAGGGTGTTTCCAGCCAAAGAGGTAATGTTCTACATGTTGCTGGGAGACCAGGAGCTGAACCCCTTTCTCTCCTGGGAGGGAGACACAGCATGGGCCAATGCCACTGTTCGGGCCCTGGAGACTGGTGATCAGGAGCTGTCCTGCCTTGTATCTTTGGGTCCGATGGAGCAGAAAACAAAGGAGCCAGTGTATGTCTATAGTAAGTTACCTGCTGCTTCCCTTCCCCGTGTGGGTCCTCTGCCACTGAAAACTTCCACAGTAATGGCTTGGTGATTTGACTACAGGTCTCCTTGCTCACCTTTGCTAGGCACACTCTCAACTGGATATTAGCCTTCGTTTTTGTCTGATAAGTGTGGGCTGGTTGGGGACAGGCATTGAAACAATAGTTTTACCCAGTCTTCACCTTCAGTTTTCTTAGGACACCTACTTACAAAGAGGTTATGGATGCTTGAACTTGTTCCTCGGTGAGGAGGAAATCTGTGAGATGAAAAGACATCTTGCATCCTTGCAGTAGAGGCATAGCCAAATGGGTGTATGCTGTGTTTGTCGTAGGAGAAGCTCTCAAATCCCCAAACCACCTCCATGTTCCTGCCATGCAGGTTTTACAGAACCAGTAATGTATCAAAAACCTTTCCCTTGCTGTCTGGCTACCCAAGGGATACCACTAGCAGCAAGAGTATGGAAGTGGCTGCCAGTTTTGAGAAATATGTTTTTATCTTTCCTTTTCTTACAGGCTTCCCTCCACCAGTCCTGGAGATAGAAGAATCATACCCCTCGGTGGGGACAGATGTTAATGTGACCTGTTCAGGACATGTATTAACATCACCCAGCCCTACTCTGCGACTTCAGGGAGCCCCAGACCTCCCTGCCCCTGGGGAGCCTGCCTGGATTTTAGTTACTGCGAGGGAGGAAGATGATGGCCGAAATTTCTCCTGTGAGGCCTCCTTGGAGGTTCAGGGTCAGCAGTTGATCAAAACCACTGCTATCCAGCTGCATGTCTTTTGTGAGTAGAGGCCTGAGCCTTCTTGTCAAAACAAAGATTATTAGTCTACCATTTCCAGAGATCTTCTTGGCCAGTGGCTTCATTATTAGAGTTGCCATGTTTTTCTCATAAAAAACAATCAAAGAGAGAATAACTTCTGCTCCATGTACTCAATTTAGGAGGACAGGGATATTTATGTAGTGAATTTTAGAAAAAAAAGCAATATAACATGGTTTGATGCAGAAAGTGACCTGGTTATTTGGGATTAAATTATCGGGGATTTACATATGTGGGCCAAACTGGGAAGTCCCTTCGCCAATCTGGACCTCAGTTTCCAAAAAACAATCAAAGGAGAGACTATAATTAAAGCTGTCCCAGCTCACCTTACCCTGGGAGTGTGAGTGGGGAGAAGCTGAGGGGGAGCTGGGGACAGAAAGGAAAGTACGTACAGTGATTGTGCGGCATTAGTTGAGGGCCAATGGCCAAAAGCCTAAGAAGTGATAGTTGGAGCTTATGCTGAAGAGGAAAATTCCCAATAATTCCATTTTGAAAAGTAGAAAAATTCTCATCTCTGGGTTCACCTCTACCCACTTCCTCACTCACTGAGAAGCAAAGAAGGGAAGCAGAAGCCCCAAGGTCACCATGGACAGACTGGTGTTATCGTCTAGTCTGAATCCATAAAAATACCCTATGGTACATTTCAGACTTGGGGAAACTAGTAAAGAAACATTGACTCAAAGCAGGGAACCCATAGTGCCCTCCTTGGGAGAGAAAGCTGCTGGGAGGAGGACTAGGGAGGGGAGCATGAAGGTAAGGAGAGAATGTGGCCCACTGAGCTTGGCTCCTGGGGGATGCTCTTTCTTCCAGATGAGCCACGGTTAGAGGAATCTGGCTGTCCTGGCAACCAGACATGGGTGGAAGGGACAGAGCAGATGCTTGCCTGCATCCCAAAGGGAAACCCGACTCCAAGCATGGTGTGTACCAGGAATGGGATGATTTTCAACCTTGAAGTCCCACAGACGGCAACCCAGAACCACACTGGAACCTACTGCTGCGTGGCCACTAACCAGCTGGGCTCTGTCAGCAAAGATATTGCTGTCATTGTTCAAGGTGATGTAGCTCCCCTGTTGCCAGTCCCAGGGTGGAAGTCCAGGGGGTTGGAATTCTTACCAAAGCATAGAGGGGAGGAAGATTTTAGTGGGCTGGGGAGGATGAGACTGAGATATGGGCATGGTGAGTTGGGGCGAGATGATTCTCTTGCCCTCAAGACCTCCCACCTGTCTGTCTTCTGTGCTTCAGCAGGACTGGATGAAGACCTCAGCTCTACTATCTTCATCATTATCATTGTGGCCCTTGGAGTGGGTGTAGTCACCATAGCACTGTATTTGAACTATCGGCCCTGCAAAATAGAGAGAAGGAAGTTGCCCTATAGACAGAAAGAGAACAGCAAAGAGGAGGAAAGCCAACTTGATGTTCAACAAGCAGAAAAGTGCAGCCCACATAACTGTTAAATAGAAACAGCAATTGGTTGAATGAGACTTCTACTGGGGCTTCCCAGGGAGGGAAGAGGAAGTTGAGAAGAGAGGCAGAGCCTGAAAGTGAGGCTATATTACTCTTTGTGTTCCATAGTCCTGTGAAAACAGTGTCTCTGGCACTGTGGCAATTGTACCTGGTCCATCTGCAAGTTCAGCTTTCTCTTCTGAGTTCTCTAGGAATTTCACTCTCAATGTTCAGCTAGTGACAGGGCCTCTTGCTCTTTGCTATGTGCTTAATCAGTTCACTCTTGGATTAAAAAAAGAAAGTGCTGCCCTTGCCTCATCATCCCCACACCCACTGCCATTTTTTCCCCAAAACAACAGATTGCTCCCAAACATCAGACTGAAGAGATAATTAAAAAAATCTCAGAAATGCAATTCATTCCTCATGGTTTTTCTGATGACTACCTGGGAACTAATATCTCAGTATAGGGACAGAGCCCTATTCTCTTCTCCACATCCCCCTGCTTCCCTGGCCTGGTGCTCTGGAATGCCAGCCTCAGAGCTGAATTGATGCCATCATTATGGAGTCCTGGATGCAGCTTTGGCAAAAGGGTCAGTGGCTGGTTAGGCTTCAACTCAGTAACAATCTATTGTGGGCCTCGACAGAATACAAAAGTCAAAACCCACACTTGGTCAGACAAGCAGCTTACCTAGCCCAGAGTTCCGTCCTAGACGTGGAAGGTAGAATTCTCCCACAGAATTGGCCTCATGCAAAGGGATCCAAACATCCCTGAATTCCATTTCATAATCGATTATTGAGTAATCGTCTGTGAGTTCACGTTCTACTTGTTGTCCTATCTCTACAGGCTCTTAGGGTAGAGTTCCAATGTTTATGCTTCCTTTCCATAAAGAAGTAGTATTTTCATCTGTCTGCAAACTATTTCTTTTAAGCCTCAAGAGGAATCCTCCTGTAACAATATTCACCATATGATTTTATGACCCAACTTCCTTCTCTGTTCCTTGGAAAGAGTATATTCACCTCAGAGAAGGCATGAGGAACCATAAAATCAGATCCTTTCCCCCAAATCAGTCTTGTATGGGTTGCTGAAATGTTGGATATGGTAAAAATAAAAGTTATTTTATGATACCTGAATGTATTTCTCTTCTGCATCATTGCTGAGAGCTTTTTCATTAAAATAAGGTGCAAAAAAAACGTTGCTTTTTGGAACTTTGAGTACAATTTCTAAGAAAAGAGTACCAACTTGGTAGCATAAACAACCCGCCCAGTGTAGGTGGTGCATTAGCTCTGGACAGCAGCTTGTTTGAGGACTCAGTGACCCATGCTCAGCCTCTCCTCAGAAGTACAGTTCAGACTTCCAAACAGAAGCCCACAGTGTTCCAAATTATAGATACTAGCTAGAAAGAAGGAACACAGCATCAGTTACCAAAGGGAAAAGATTCTCCCATTCTTGCTAGCACCTCCCCTGAATCTGGGGTTATGGATTAGATATAAAAAGAACACTTTGGTTTCAACAATTCAACACATGCTAGGCAATGGGGATAGAATGGTGAACAAAACACCATCCCTGCCTTTCACAAGCTTGTAGTAGGGAAGCTAGAGCAAGTGACCAGGAAATTACAATTGCACGTTAACTCCTGTGGTTGGAAAAGCATAGGCTATTACGGGAACAACTAACTCAGGGATCAGGGAAGGCTTCCCGGAGAAGACATTATCTAAGGTGAGATTAGATGTGTCTTGTTTGATTTAGCAAAACAGTATCCTCCTAAATGACCTCCTCAACCTCAAACTTTCCACGGAAACCCTGGTGGCGTAGTGGTTAAGAGCTATGGCTGCTAATCAAAAGATTGGCCGTTTGAATCCACCACGTGCTCCTTGGAAACTATAGGGCAGTTCTACTCTGTCCAGTAGGGTGGCTATGAGTTGGAATTGACTCAACGGCAGTGGGTTTGGGTTTTGGTTTTGGGGGCGAAGTGGTTGGGTGCTCAGCTGCTAACTGAAAGGTCAGCAGTTTGAACCCACCAGCTGCTCTGCGGGAGAAAGATGTGGCAGTCTGCTTCTGTAAGGATTAAAAACCAAACCAAACCCGTTGCTACTGAGTCAGTTTAGACTCATAGTGACAGAGCAGTACTACTCTGTCCTATAGGGTTGCTATGAGTTGGAATCGACCAGATGGCAATGGGTTTCACTTTATAGTAGCCACTGCTCTCATGTGAGTGTAAAATAAATTACTCACTTTTTCGAAATGAGCACTTGGGGAAGTAAGTTAGGAAGCAGGTTTAAGAGAGATGAGTATAGAACAGCCCAATCCAGGAGTCTCCAGCCGTTTCAGCGCCTTGGGATCAGCTCCATTAGGTCTCATGGCAAACCCCACCTCATGGCCCCAGGACAAGAATCCAAAGGGGTGGGGACGGGGGGAGGGAGTCTGGTCATTTTGAGGCTTGGAAACCCTGGTGGTGTACTGGTTAAGAGCTACAGCTGCTAACCAAAAGGTCGGCAGTTCAAATCGACCAGGTGCTCCTTGGAAACCCTACGGTGCAGTTCTACTCTGTCCCACAGTGTTGCTATGAGTCGGAATCGACTATGGGTTTGGTTTTTTGGTTTTCTCCAGCAGAGAGAGCTTGGAGGCTTAGCCAGCTGCTACCTTTCCTCCTCACTGCCACATGATGTCGCTGTTGACAGATTGTCCTACACAGCCCATCAAACCTTGCAGCTCTGCATACCCAGGTACCCAAGCAGGCTGCTGTGCATCTTTGAGGGAAGATGATCCACTGTCTCAGGGCTTACTCCACCTGAGGGTGACTCCTTGCTCGGATTTCCAAGGTTGCAGCTGTTGAGCTCAGTACTTTGGGTTAGTTGTCCCACAAGGCTCTTTAGAATTGGGCTAGGCACTTTCCTTTGCAGACTTGGAAACTTTGTTCCCTTTTCCTCCCCAGGGATCCACACAGCCAGGGCTCTGGCAGCTCCTCCTTGTCACTTCTTAAAGCATAAAGAGTCTTATTACATCTCTTGTCCGCTATAATAGAGCTGATCTCTGCCCACACTTCTAAGGGTAGCTTCCTTCATTGTCTCCCGGGGGCCTGACACACTAATAAGTTTTGATGATACTCATTCTGACCAATAGAGCAACCAGCTCACACTTAACTGCAGCTACCCTGATTATCTCCAGGGGAAGACATCTACCTTCAATACTCTAAAAGTTTATCCTCTGAAGGATGATCAAGGCGAATTTCTGGTATCTTTCTCTAGAGCTGAGAAAACACAAGTAACATATTCAGTGAGAAAAGTCCCAGCTTTTCTCTGTCTGGCAGAACATGTCTCCCCGAGGTTGCTGCCAGTTCAGAATCTTTTCTGAAACCAAATAAATACTATGTCAAAAGTTTTAGTTCAGACACTAAATATTCAGTGGTGCTTCTTACTATAAGGATCATAGCATTTACCTGCCAAAAGCCAAAACCAAACTCATTGCCATCAAGTCTATTCCGACTCATAGCGACCCTATAGGTTAGAATAGAACTGCCCCAGGATTTCCAAGGCTGTAATCTTTATGGGAGCAGACTACCACATCTTTCTCCTGAGGAGTGGCTGGTGGGTTTGAACTGCCGACCTTTCAGTTAGCAGCCGAGTGCTTTAACCACTGCACCACCAGGCCTCCTTCCAGTATTTGCTTTAGAGGCTTATACAATAATTGGAAGTAAATGACACAGTGTTTGTAAAACACAAGCATGGTGTTGTATGTATGTGTTCATAAGTGGTAGCTTTATTATTACAAATAATGCTGGTGGTGATCATAACTATAATCGTAAGTCCAAAAGCAAGAGTCAAATCCCTGGCAACCATTGAGGACCATCAAAAGTCATACACCACACAAGCTTTCCCATATGTTCTCTCTTCATCCTTTTCTTCTTTCCCATTATGTTCTCTCTTTGTCCTTCTTCCTTCCTTCTTCTACTCCTCCCCCCTCCTTTTGTTCCCTAAGATTTAGGACTACTAGTAGGATGATCAAGGAGTCAAGGTGGTGCAATGGTTAAGCACTTGGCTGCTGTTGTGGATTGAATTGTGTCCCCCAAAAATATGTGTCAACTTGGCTAGGCCATGATTCCCAGTATTGTGTGATTGTCCACCATTTTGTCATCTGATGTTCCTATGTGTTGTAAATCCTACCTCTGTGATGTTAATGAGGCAGGATTAGAGGTAGTTATGTTAATGAGGCAGGACTCAATCTACAGGATTAGGTCGTATTTTGAGTCAACCTTTTTTGAGATATAAAAAAGAAGCAAGCAGAGAGACAAGGGGATATCATACCACCAAGAAAGAAGCACTGGGAGCATAGCACATCCTTTGGACCTGGGGTCCCTGCTTTGAGAAGCTTCTTGACCAGGGAAAGATTGATGACAAGGACCTTGCTCCAGAGCCGACACAGAGAAAAAGGCTTCCCCTGAAGCTGGCACCCTGAATTCGGACTTTCAGCCTTCTAGACTGGGAGAGGATAAATTTATCTTTGTTAAAGCCATCCACTTGTGGTATTTCTGTTATAGCAGCCCTAAATAACCAAGACAGCTGCTAACTGAAAGATTTGCAGTTCAAACTCACCTAGCAGCTCTGCGGGAGAAACACCTGGCATTCTGCTTCTGTAAAGATTACAGCCAAGAAAACCAGGTCTACTCAGTTAGATCGCATCCACCTGAGGGGTTTCGGGCCTCGGGACTGTCAGCACTAAAATTGGGAACGTCTCAGGCACACCAGGACGACGTGGTAACCCAAATACTAGTATCATTCAAGACATTTCTCAGCTGTGCTGGGGCCGTTCTGAATTAAAGAATTAAAGAAGCTACAAGGCAAAGTGTAATGTTTTCTTGGCCCAGAAGCCCAGGTTCTGTAATTCTGAGGAGGACTTGTGAAGAAAGGAGAGTGTCACTTCTGCTCTCAAATGTATATAAAGGGACAAAACTCATGTGCATATTTCAGCAGTGCCCATGTAATAAATTCAGAAGCGGTCATTTTAGGTTAAATTCAAAAGATTACATGGGGTTGGAAAACCTTTATTCCATTAGTTGAGGATTATTAA